CCCGTAGTGAAGACGTAGGAAAGTGCCATTTTTCCATAGTCCCGTTTCAGAGCACGCTCACGCTTTAAAGAGCTCTCTTCTCTGGTGCAATTCAAAAAGAGTTTTGATTTTAAAAATAAAATGAAATTGGGCAAATTATTTATAACCCAGTATATTGAAAATGGTCCAGCTATTTCCATTGGGAAAGTGGCAGTCAGGTATTAGCTGCTGTCAAGCCAAAATATGTACCTAGCACAGCAGCTACCCCATAACTAATCCTTTTCATTAAAAAAATTCAGTGAGGTTCTTCCCCCCCCCCCCCCATCTCATCCATGCTGCATCATTAAAAATAAAAGATTTGTGAATTACAGGAACACTATCAATTGATTTGGGGTCCAAAATGTAGACCTCACTCCTGCAAACACTCCCATGCTTAGCTTTTCCACAGGAATAGAGCCATTGAAGTCAATGGGTCTGCACACATGCTTAAAATTACTCCCTCGTAAAACTGCTTGGGAAATTTTTGTCCATAGAATCTTCTGTTAGAAATTGCCATTTTTGTGAAATGGGATTGATTTAGACCAAAGTTCCGGTGGGAAAAAATGTCAGTGAATTTTTTTTTCAGTATTTCCATTTTTCAGGAATTCCGATTCTGAAAAAAACCAAATTGTGACATGTCAACATTTCCCGCAAGCAGAGGTTCTGAATTTCAATCAGCTCTGCTGCTGTGTCTGTCTATGGCACTGGGATATTAGATGTTTCCATATTATAAAAGTGAGGTGGGTGTGAGAAGGGATTTATTAGGGATGATGATTTTTTTCACAGGAATATTTTAAATGTTCCCCAAGCTGCAGTGGTGGAAATGCAACTCCAGCAGCACTGGGATGTTGCATTGGAAACTGAAAGTGAAAATGATTAGAAGCAAAGTGAAAGTGATCATCACTCTGCTTTCACTGTCCAAGCAGTGAAAAATCAGGGTTGTTTAATTCTCTACACTGTTTTTGATAGTACACAGATAAGGAACATTTCTGAATATGAAAACAGATTTGGACAGTGTTCCTCTACCATGGAGACTTCTAGGAAATAAATCATCCCCAGACAGCATGACTGCAGATGCAGTATCACAAAGACCTTCACATGCATCATGTGTTTATGCATGAAAAGTTTGGGCCCAGACCCTCAAAGGCATTTAGGTCCCTAACTACCTTGGAAGATGTGGGTCTTTGTTAGAGTCCAGATTCAGGAACACTGCCAATGACGATGCTTGGAATGGGCAGAAGCCACCATGTTGCTTTCAGCAAGAGCAGTAGATAGTTTAATCAGATTGGTTCAGGGGGCTGCGTAGGAGCTGTTAGTGTTTTTCTTAATGTAATTCTACCTTCATGCACAGCCCACAATAGAGAGAGAGAGAAAAATAAGGTAACCACTTGTCTGTTTTCTAGGGAATCAGTACTACGTAGGTATTAAAACAGGAGGGGTCAAGACTCCTGGGTTTTGTTATCAGCTCTGCTACTGATTCATTGATGACCTTGGGCAAGTCACCTAGGGACAGCAGTAGTAGTTTCTTGCTTCTTGAATAGTCCCCTGAATGAGTTGAGACAACACACAGAGTAAGGTACTACTCCACATGAGTAAGGGGTCTGAACCTGCTACTGACCTCTTTGAACCACAGTTCCCATCTGTACATTGGGAATGATACTCCCTACTCCACAGGTGTCTCAAGGCTCAGCCCATTAATATTTCCAAAGGGCTTTGAAGGCTAAACAAATGCAAAGGGATTATTGAGACTCACTCTAATGGCCTCTTTGTGGTGGGGGAGGGGGCATGTTACTTGTTGCTGTATGGCAAGATGGTGGTGGTAGATTGTCCAGTCCTTTTATGTAACTCATTGCCCATCACTTGCGGACCTGAGCACACCTCACCCCGTGACTGGAGTTGACCTTCTCATGGTGCCACATCAGCTCTTCTGACTGTTGGTGCTACTTCCCCACCCACAGCCATGCACCTACATACATGAAAAGCTGTAGGAACAAAACAAGATCTCTGCATCTAGGCCCAAATTCATGACAGCCTCTAAATTGTCATTGCTCCCCTCCTAGGCGCTTTGTCCAGCCCTTCCTTGAGTGCATGGTGCTGGAGTGTCTCCCAGTGGCTAGGAACTAGAGGGACTAACATTATGTACAAACATTATTTATATGGAACACTTCCCTTGTAATATGCTCCATGGTGCCCGCCCTGCCCCATTGAAGCCAAGGGGAGCTTGACCATTGATGTCCGTGGGTGCAGGATCAAGCCCATTGTGAGTTTTCTAAATGTCAGTGAAATAATTGTAGTCTAAATTCACTAAAGAGACATGCACCAGTAAGAACTAACTGCTAGGCTGCAGTGAGATGCTTTTTGCAGATTGTTCTCTGTGTGGGGGAGGTTCTGGGTTTGGTTTAGTTTTTGAATCGGTCGTCCTAGCGATATTTTTAAAAGGCTGATCCAAGCCGGCAGAAGCCTCCAGCATTAAGGCTTTCCCCTTAGTGCTGCATCGGTGGCTGGGAGAGCTTCAAAGCTTCAGGCATGTCGCTGCGGCCTTGAGCCAGCTCCAGTCTGGCAGGGAACCTGAAGCAGTGAGATTGCCTAGCTGGGGGAGGAAATGCATGCTGGGTTTTTAGAAGAGGGGGGTCATTGCTATTCATCAACAAAGGTGCCCGTGTTCCTATTCCCTCTGGCCAAGGAGGTCTAGGAACTGACTCTTAAATACCTCTTTGTGGAACTGAATGAGGGAATCATTTGAGAACAATGTGAGATGCTGCCCCCCAGGGGCTAAACTCGATGTTACTGCTGTTCAGTCAGAGGCTAGACCTCAAATTCAGATCGCTGAGTCACATACTGTCTAAATGACTGATTTTATTAACCAGACTTTCTGGTGGATTCATTGGCATTTGACATAAAAGTCCAGACTAGGTGAAGTCCGGAGTGATGCAAACACATTCCACAAATGCTACCTCCAGGCTGATCCAGCAAGAAGAAAATGAAAGCAGGTACCTAGCGAAAACACAAGAAGCTACAGCTCTCTGAGGAATGAAAAATGATGAACTGCTGTAGCTATAAACCAACAAACCAAAAAAAAAAACCCTCCTGCAGAAAACTGCTAGTGGCTGCAAAAGGAAAAGTGGGACATTTCAAAAATGTATCCAGGCAATAAGTGTTCATTAGGGATGAGATCAGTCATTTCATTAGCTCCAATGTACTGGCCACGGGTACGTGGGCTGGAACAGCCTTGGTTTAACATTAAACGTGGCTGAGTGAACACGAGAAGGGAAAGGAGATCACACTCGCCCAAAATGGCTTGGCTTCTTGCAGCTCAGTTCAGTTCAATAATACTTTATTGGCAGTACAAACTGCAGAGTGGGGTGTATTGACACAGACAGCAGCTTGCCAGAGGTGGGTAGACTCTGCCTGAGCCAGGACTAAA